ACTGCAACCTGATTGACAGGCTAGACTCCACCCTTTTGCAAGTTGACAGGAGATGATGTAACTGCCATACATCCTCTGCAGGCAATTACCCTCCTTTGGAGACAGGGTTTTTGGGTTGTCACTGGGCCTTAGTGGGCACTGAATGCCTAGCTATGGGCCATCAAGTGACCATGCAGCTTGAGCTGCTCACATAGATGATGTGCTCTCTGACGCAGTCGTCAAGTTGGATGTGCATAGCAGCACTTCATCATTAAATACAAGGTCAGGCCTGTGCACAATGTGAAAGTACTAGTTAGATGCATAAGGAAGTGGCCCAACTGTCCATGGCTTCCCCTCCTGTCACATGACTTTCTTCTCCCTGCCTGCACTTCTGGGCCCATGGGGAGTTCCTTTGGTCAGCTGGCTGAGGAAAAGAAACCCTGCATGTGATATACACGTTTCTGTCCGACATGCACACACCACTCAAACCTGAACAGAGGCAGCCCTATAGTCCCTTCCTAGGAACTCTCGGAAGGACAATGGTAAAGGCAAATCCTCACAAGGAGCGATGCACCTAGATAGTCATTTTGCCTGGAAGGAGAAATGGCCAGATATGTAACTGTACACTGATTCATGGGCTGAGGTCAAAGGTTTGGCTGGATGGTCAGGGACTTGGCATGAACATGATTGAAAAATGGGTGACACAGAGGTTGTGTGAGTGGTGATTGTCTTGGGTTGTGTTCTCTTGAGAAGCAAAACTTGTGTAGCTGAGAGATAGAGGGGATTCTATCAAGAAAATGACTCTTAGTTATGGTAGCATGCAAGTTCCAAGTTCCTGAAAGTTCTAAGTCTGTAGGTCAGAAGTTATGCTGCAAGCTTCTTCTGCTTCATTTGGCCATGGGGGCTGATGAACCAAGATTGGAAGGAAGGTAACAGGCTTGTGGCTGTAGAGGAAACCGGACCCAAGGCAGATAGGCAAGATGGCAAGCTGTGGAGGGAGGTAGATGCTAGCAGGCATCTCCCCTGAGGGCGATCAGTTGCCAGACTGCAATGGGACCTGCTCCCTGCTGCTGGGGACAATGGACAGGCTCCTGTAGGTGGGGTTTACACCCTACTGATAATGGTCCCTAAGGAGACCCAGAGAACAGGTCAAAGTTAAGCTGCCATCCTAAATCTAGGATACGCCCATCTTCTCACATGTATACCCCCAATCCCTCCTTTTCCTATTGCATGTATGTCCCTAGACCACCCCCTCTCATTGCTGGATAACCTATAGTGCAACCCCTTCCTGTGACATATGTCTTTACCTGTAATTGGTGGGGTTGCATGCCTAAAAGGTATATAGGCGTGGGTCAGCAATAGAGCACGCTTTCTCTGGCCTCTCTCGCTGGTCGCTCCCCTCTCTTCCCCCTCTCCTCTCCAGTCCTCTCTCCCTTGTTCCCTTTCCCATCCCCCTTCCCTTCCCCTCCCTCCACGTGGACCATAAAGCAGGGCTGAGATGAGCAATGCTACCATGTAATGTGTCTGACTGCATTATTGTAATATCTCTCATGCTCTCGATGACTTTAATATAATACTTATATATCTCAACCATACAAATGTGCATTACTGAACCCAAGATTAGCGGTGGGGGCTAGACCCCCACCCCATAAAATTTATACTACAGCAGGCCGGGTTCCAGGGCTCATGAACCAAATAGCCATGGTGGCAGGGAAAGAAGTTATGCCTGGGATCAGCCACATGGACTTCAACTCACCAAACTACCAGAGGCAGACCACTCACCCAGTGCGGACTTCTCCACAGGGAAGTCACGAGCCAGCCTCCTGGGAGAGCCACTGGCAGGTGGGCGAAGCCTAGCCCCAGGTTTACCCCACAGAGGTCTCTTCTTCTTTTGTTAAACATCTTATTGGCCTATAATTCATATCTCATACAATTCAATAGTTTGATTACATCAAAAAGAGTTGCACAGTCATGACCACAGGATGAAGAACATTTTCTTCATCCTAATTTCCCTCCAACCTCGTCTGCCATACCTCCCTCAAGGAACCACTAAGCCAGTCACTATCTCTAAGGATTCACTGACTCTAGATTTCATACGCAGAAAAATACTAAAAAACAAAAACTAACAAGAATAACAAAGTAAAACAGATTTTGAAAACCTCATTTGAAAAAATGCATAAATATTAAAAACTAGAGCAAATTTAAATGGATCATAAGGGAGATCAAATTATAGGGTACTGATCCTAACCTAGCTGCATCTGTAACAATCCACTTTCCATTGCATCCTACATGTTACCAAGGTTATTCACATCCCTGGTCTATGGTCAGAAGGGATTCTCCAGGGGCTTAATCCATGGGTATTTCCCCTTCACGTCTTTAAAAAATGGAAACTACTTTAAAATGGGTCCACAGGGAGACCAAACGATATTACATTTTGACCTAACTACGTCTACCATCACTGACTCTTGTTCTCTGTTGGATTACAAGGCTATTCACATTCCTCACTATGATCAGAAGGGATTAACTGCAGGCTTAATTCACTGGGCCGGACTCTGCAAATGAGTCTTGGGCTTCCATGGTCATCCCTAGCATTCTTCAAACTGGGTGTTCCCAATTTAAACTCTGAAACCATCCCCTCCTTCCAGTTCTTGTCGAGCTCCCTCCATTCGCAAGCCTTCCTCACAATGTCTGTCCTATTTTGCTCATCCCATGTTACTGTGGAAGGCTCTTGAGGGGCTGCCAACCCCAAGGTTGGAGACTCAAACCCACGAGCCACTCCACAGGAGAAAATCCTGATCTGCTCTTCTAAAGAGTACAGCCACGGACACCTTATGGGGTTGTTCTACTCTTTCCTATAAACTCACTGGTATCACATCAACAGGCACAATTACGAAGACTGTTTTGTTCTATTGTGCACGGGGTCGATAGGAGTTGGAACCAACTTGAAGGCACCTAATATCACATACATTCTGACTCAGTGATCTCACGGGACAGGTTTGAACCGAACCTTGTGAGTTCCGGAGGCTGTGAATCCTTATCAGGAACAGGCTGGTCCCTTGGAGATGCTGAGTGTTTGGAACCAATGATCTTATGGTTAGAAGCCAAATGCAGTATCCACTATGCCACCAGGGCTCCTACTCTGTCCTACGGGGTGTTTCATTTGATTGAGCACCCTCCCTCCCTGTGGTCCCCAAGGAAGCAGCAGGTTGTTGGCGACATTGACCGAAGTGGCAAGTTCCGCCCACATGGGGTTTAGAGTTCGTAGAAAATGGGGAGAAGGTCATTTACTGGTCATAAAGGGTGTATCAGGGTCATACGGGGTTGCTTTAAGTCAGAATGAACCAATTGATGGCAAAGGGTTTGGTTTGGGTTGACTCTTTAAAGAAGTCTACTGCCACATCTTTCTCCTACAGAGTAAACTGTGAGATCCAGAGAGGGTTCTCCCCAGGTTGTCACCTGCTTGCTAGCACACTGTGTAGTCAGCTGCTTAGAAGTGTTCTTCCTCAGGGCATCAGCCATCTAGAGGAATCAGACACTACTGTCTGTCTCACCATAGGTGAGGCCCACTTCCTGCTGATAATAGTGGATTGCATACCTGAAGGAGAGTCCAGAGACAAAGTCAAGCCAACTCTAGGAGGACCAAGGTTAGGCTGCCATCTTGAATCTAGGGTCCACCCATATTCTCCCCTTCCTATTGTGTGTACACCCTTAGCTCATCCCCATCCTGTCGTGCGTATGCTGATTGGCCTACCCCTTCCTATTAAGTATGTGGTTACCTGTAATCAGAGGGGCTTGCACTCCCTCTAGGTATATATAAGCCTTGATTATATAAATACATGCTCTCCTCCTCCCGCTCTCGGCACGGACCTGGCTACTGAGATCATGGCCATCCCGGAGGTGAGCATGGTACCATAAAAATGTGTCTGACTCCTTTATTTTACTTTCTCTACTATCTCCCATGACTTTACTATAATCTTTATATATTATAACCGTACAGTTGTGCCTACACACCCCGCTGTTATCAGAGGCTGATTTACTCTAACAGTAAATGGTGGGTCTACACTGTCAACCTTGCAAGTAGAGCTGAGCATTTAACCATTGGCCAGTAATCAACTTCCCTTCCCTTTTCTACAGACTCCAAGCCCGGTACAAGCAGAACGCGTTCTGCCTTTACTCAATAGCTGCCAAGGGCCTGCTTCCTAGGGACCAAAAGGAGTGTGCTAAAAACAGAAACAAAACATCCTCCTCCTTCCAGTGGCCTGCACTACCCAGGACCGAGGCTGAAGGGCAGGGTGCCAGGCCACGTGCACATCACTCCACACTGGCTAGGTTCTTTTTGCCCCCACAGGCCCAGGACGTAGCACTTGAGGGGTTCAAATTCAGGATCTGTAATGACTCGGCAGTGACTCTGGGTTTTGGTAACTTGGCTTAGCTTAAACATTTGGCTATTGGATTATCTTTATTGGATTTGAATTTGAATTGTGGTGCTTTACAATATTGAATGTACCGTGGACTGCTAAAAGGACAAACTTGATCTGTCTTGGAAGAAGATTGGCTGGAATGCTCCTTCGAGGGAAGGGTGGTGAGCCTTAGTTCTCTGGAGGACAGCATGTTTAGTGAAGTGGAGGGGCAGTGAAAAAGAGGAAGGCCCTAAATGAAACGAATGGACACCGTGGCTGCAGGGCCAGGAAGTGTTTCAACCTCTTGTAAGGTCGTTATGGGTTGAAACCAACTTCATGGGACCTAACAACAACAATTAAATAGAAAGGGCTGGGATTAGACAAAAGCGTGGAAGTGAAACGGCTCGGTTTGGTTACCATTGCTGCAGAGGTAGAAGCAGGTGTTGCTCACCTGGGAAGAGAACACCGGGAAAGACCCACCCTTTCCATTTGGCCCGCACGCGTCCAAGTTATTTTACCCCGGGCGGGGCGGGGGCGGGGCCTGAGCATCGATCACTCGGCGTTCCTAGGCACGCCAGGGAGATCAGACGGACACTGAGCGATCGACCCACCTCGAGCCTTGGGTTACGTGGGAGGTGGGAGAGCCGCCGGTGCAGCCCAAACGGAACAAGTCTTGGCCTGCGCGGGGGCGACTCGACACCTGCCAGACGACAGAGAGGTCAGTTTGAGCACCTGCGTGAACAGCTGTGGTTCGGGAGCCGCTGAGGAGGCCGGGACGGGATAGGGAGGGCCGCCAGGAGTCCCGTAAGAGATGAGCCGGAAGGAGGGCAGCCCGCGCGTGCGCCGTACTCGCCCCGGAGGGAAACGGGGAGCGCCGGGTAGACAGCTCCTGCGTCGCCGGCGTGTGGGAGGCCTGCGCGTGCGCAGTGCCACTCTTACGGCGTGCTTTTTGCTCTGCGCACGCGTGAGGTCCGTCCTGCGGCGGCTTTCTCGCGCCTGCGCAGTTTGTGCTGTCGTTTAAAGCTTGTGGGCGTGCCGTGTCTGTTTTCGGGGCTTTTGTAGCTCCCTGATAGTTATCAGCTGTCGCTCCGGGCCGCCAGGCCTGTGCCATCGGCCTGGAGGTGGGCCGACAGAACGCTCGGATTTGGGCCGCCCTAAGTACTGATGGGGGTGCGGGTGGGGTAGAGAAGGGTCCGGGGTGGAAAGTCGTGAGGCCACGGATGTCAGACCCTCGGCCTGTGCATGAGGCTGCCTGAGCCCCTCCGAGGGAAAGCATTAACGGCATCGGTATCACATTGCCTTCTGCAAGGTCCAGCAATGTCATGGACCCCTGTGTCGCCCCTGCTCAGAAGGGCTAGCTTGTAAGCCCAAGATCAGGGGCTGGGTAGGTGTTCGAGAGCACAAGACCCCCCAGACCGAGACTGCGTGGTGCAGAAGGCCAGAGACACCCTCGAGCCCTTAAATCAGGCTTTGTGCGAAATTATCGGAACTACTCTGGACAGACTGACAATGCTCCCCAGAAAGCGATTCTTAATTGAGGTTTCTGTGTGATGAAGCCACAACAGAATTGAAGAAATTACAAAACTTTCCAGGCGACCTGTACCCGGGAAGCAGGTGGGGGCTGGTGAAGCCTGGAAGCCAACTCGGAGGTACCCCAGGCACCTGTACAGTGCCCTCAGGTTGGAGGAGAGATTAGTCCCTGGAGAAGGACGTCATACTTGGTAAAGTAGCAAGGCAGCGAAAAAGAGGAAGGCCCGCAATGAGATGGACTGACAGTGGCTGCATTGGTGGGCTCAAACAAGAACAAGTGTGAGGATGGGGCAGGACCGGGCAGCGTTTTGTTCCATTGTACACTGGGTTGCTGTGAGGGGGCCCTGACTCATGGACACCTGACAAGCACCACTGGGGGCTGTTTGGCCAGGCCCAGCTGAGACGTCGGGAGGCATGGGGAGATCATCCAAGAGGTGCCTTAGGGAAGTTGATTTTAAAGTTAAGTTAGGGAACTCACACCGCTGGTTCCTGAGAAGGAGGCTTTCTTGTATAGTCAACTGGAACCCTCTTGGACTGTGACTAACAGCTACCCAAGTCCAGTGCACGAAGCCTAAGCGGCATGAAGCCTAAGGAGATGGTGACCTCCTGGGACCTGCGTCCACAGGAGCAGTTGCCTACAGCCTATTCCTGACTCCTCTATGTTGAACAAAACCAATCATAAGTCTTTTACCAGGGTCCGTGAGGGTGCTTTATAAAGTGCAAAGTCCACTCTGAGGGTGTCACATGTAAAACACGTCTGACCTGCTTTCCAAGAAGAGCATTTCATACCCAAATAACCCTTTATAGAAAGAGTTCAGAAGGGCTAAGTGATCAAGCTAAGAAACAGTATATGAGACCTGCCCCAGAGGGTTGATTGACAAAACTAAGAGAACCCTGGCCCTATAGAGCAACCTGTGGCAGACTGGTTTATGGGAAAAAAAAATCCGAGAGGTCATTTCGCCTGGCCTTCAAACAAGGACCCAATATGTGAGAATTGTCATTAACAGAAGTTACAGGGCAACCCTGGAAGACTGCTTCAGATAGCAGCACGTGGCTCTTCCCACAAAGGTTCTTTAGTAAGGCTTAGTAGACTTCAAAGACCAAATGACCAGAGGTTCTGGGAAGCGCATGGAGTCAGGTCGGCAGCCCACTCAGACCCATGTGGCCAGCATGCTATCTCGCTGTGGAAAGTCATCACTGTGTGTGGCCAACATAAGGCCCTGTGGGGGGGCAGCATTTCAGATCCATCATGAGGCCCCACAGGAGGCCACCTCAGTGGGCTCAGACTGAAGCACTTCGGAAAGCTGGGGGCGGGTGGGGGCCTGGTGAGTAGCCAGAACTGTTGGATGCAGAGTTGATGGTCTGAGATGTAAACCACTCCCCTCCTCAGTTCACTATAAAGACGGGAAACTAGCTCCCGCAGCTCCAGGTCCTTGAAGCCTCCCCGCCATCCCCGCAAGGCCATCACACTGTGCTAATGGAAGTGTGTCTCTGAAGGTCTTTTTATAAGGCATTCCTTCGAGGAAACTCATACTGCCAACTTGAGGACTTATCCCCAGGCAGCTCGCCCACTGGGTCTGTGAGAGGGTGTGTCACGGCCAGTGTGGTGTAAACAACACCAAGGCCACGGTGCAAAGCAGCCGGAGACCGGGCACAAGGCCACCTTGGGGTCAGGCTATGACACACAGGAAGCCAGTTGGGGAGCCAGGCTCGTGAAGCATCACGGGGTGAGCTCAGGGTGCTGGGGTTGGAAGCTCCATCTGAGCCCCGAGAGGGGTCGTTTTGCAGGTCTCTCCAGGGAGGCCAGCTTATAAAGCCAGTGTCTGGCCCGTTTGAACCGCCCTGGGAGGCTGGCAGGTTTACACAGCCACTGTTAGACACCAATTTATGAAGCTGGTGCATTGGCCTCAGCGGAAGGCAGTTTTATAGTGAGGTGGTTAAGTGGTTGTTGGGGAGGCTGGTTTACAGGCCTTTGTGAGAATCCAGGATAAGAGGCCCCTGACGTCCTTTGGATGCTCAAGTTGATACTTCTTGAGGTTGCTTTTTAAGGCTCCTATAAGATGCTCCAGGGATAAGACTCGAGGGTGGAGGTGGGGCCAGTTGCCGGGTCCTGTTTATAAGGTTGAACTGCCGTGTGTATGTGTGTGTGTGTGTGTGTCTGTCTGTCTGTCTGTCTCTCGACACGACAGCCCTGGGAGATCGGACCAGGGAGCGTTTTAGGTGGTCGAGGAAGTTCGTGCCAGATGTGACCAAGACCTCCAGGAGGCCCAGACAGTCGTGCAGGTGGTTAGTGTGCTTAGTGACTGACCATAAGCTTACAAGTTCGAGACCACCCCAAAAAACTTTCACTGCCTTTGAGTCGATGCTGATTCCTCTATAGGACAAGGTAGTCTAGATTTCCAAGACTCCGTCTCTAGGGGAGTAGAATGCCTGTCTTTTTCCGATGGAGCGGCTGGTGGTTTTGAATTGCTTACCTTGTGGTTAACAGTCCAATGCATAACCACTTGGCCAGCAAGGCTTGTTCCGAGTCTACCCAGAGGCCAGGCTTTTCTCCCGAGGGGCCCATGTGGATGCTACCCTGTAAGCTAGCAGCCAGGCACTCGCCACCTTGGGACTCCCTTTCTGAATGAGCTGCTTCCAGGTGTCTTCTTTGAGCAGTTGAAGGCATCCCTTTAACATGCTTTTGGAAGACCTGCTGTCAGCCACGGCCTGACGTTAGGCTATAAGGAAACAGAGACACGAGAGGTGTGTTTTTGTCCCGGGCAGCTGGATACGCAGACATTAAACTCACTGCCACTGAGTCAAGGCCAATGCTGAGCTTCCCTGTAGAACCGCCCCTGTGGGTTCCTCAGACTGGAACTCTCCATGGAAGTAGAAAGCCCATCTTTCTCCTGCAGAGCCGCTGGTGGTTTTGAACTGCCGCCGTCCAGTTGGCAGCCCAGCTCATAACCACTCTGCCACCAGGGCTTCTAGCCTGGCACAGTGGGTCATCTAAAAATGGGCTGCCAGGGTGGGGTAAGAGTATGCCAGATAGAGGAAGAATGTTAGAGGCATTCCAAGCAGTTCCCTCTGATGAAACATTTATCCACTGCACACACACCACTGTACTAGGCCCTGCAGGTAGAGTGAGGACCCAGGTAGATGTGGGTCCCACCTCTCAGAGTTCATGCCTTCCAGAGATCGTTGTTAGCAATTGACACAGTGAGGTGTATGTGTTAGCATGGACAAGAGCAGGGCACTGTGGGGTCAGGTCTTAGGGAGCCAGGGCTGCGCGGGCCTGTAACTTTTGTCTTCCTCCTCTTCCAGGCCCCGTGAGACTGAGCCAGATGGCAGAAGGCTCCAGCCATCTTGGAGACCCCCAGGCGGGAACAGGTCTGACCCTCAAAGAGGCCCTCAGGGCACTCCTGCCGCGCACCAAAGAAGGCCTGAGGTTGGACCTGGGCCAGCAGGTAGAGAGGACTGTGGTGGTGTTGCTACAGCAGGCCGCCGAATTCCTCTACGAGGGCCAGACCAGCGAGTGTCTGCATACCAGCGAAGTGCTCCTGGACTACACCTGGGAGAAGCTCAACACGGGGCCCTGGCAGGACGTGGACAAAGGCTGGCGCCAGGTGTACTCCTTGGGCTGCCTTCTGAAAGCCATGTGTCTGTGCGAGGTACCCGGAGACGCTGCCACCGTGACAGCCGCCCTGAGGGTCTGCGACATGGGCCTGCTGATGGGGGCAGCCGTCCTCGGGGACATCCTCTTGAAAGTCGCCACCATCCTGCAGGCTCACCTGCTCTCTGGAGAGAGGCCAATCCAGGGCCCAGTACTGGGCCCGCCCAGCACCAAGGTACCCCGGCGAGTATGGCTGACTGCTGCCCACGGAGCTTGGCAGCATGTGTTTCTGGAAGTGTCTTCCAGGCCGAGCCAGGCTGACTCTGCCATGTCTGAGCATGAACGAGCCAAGTTCAAAAGTTCCTGGAAAAATGGGATTCAAGGGATTTGGGGGGTGGGGGTGGGGGACAAAAAGAAAGAAAGATGGAATTAAAGGATAGTGGAATCCTTCCATGAACTTTGTTGAAGTGCCTTCGTATCTCCATGGAGTTTGGAATGGAGCAGCTTGGGCTGTGTTCTCAGTTTAAGAAAAGAATATATTTTTCCGTTTCTACAAAAGCAGTACCTTTGCTGGGGAGTGGGGCTGAAGCACTGTGGTTCCTGAGAGAAGCCGCACAGGCCGCTTGGGTGGGTGAGCTGCCACCTGCTCGCCCGCTTCTTATAGCACTTCAGGTCAGCTTGCCGATATCTCACCCGCTGCCCTGGCCGCCTGAGTCTCCGGGACTGATGCTGGGTAGAAGCACACAGCTAGCTTGAGTCTCTTCCTGTGACCAGTCTGTTAGACCTCGCAGAGCCTTGCTTGTGCTGCTTCTGTGCACAGACCAGAGTCCTGTCTACTCCAGTAGCAACAGGGAAGATCATGTGAGACAGAGGCCAGGACACAGACAGACTGTGCACCGGGGGGATGTAGGTCTACTGAGCGCACATGAAGATGCGTCTGAGCTCCCCTCTGTCACAAAGGGGATGCAAACAGCAAAAGCTGCAGGATGCCCCTTTGGGGCTGTTCTATCAGCAAATGGTGTTTCATGCAATAGCCGGGGCTGCTGAGGGGCACGGGCGTGGTGTGGGAGTTGACCTGTTAGAAGGCAGGGCAGCATGCAGACAACTCTCTGTCCCATGTCTCAAAAGAGCACACTCCCGCACCAGCACATGCAAACACACACACACACACACACACACACACACACAGAGCTAAGTCTGTCCCCAGGGAATGTGGAGGGGCTTCACACTCTAGCATAGGGCAGTGAGTGTCAAGCAGAGAGGCACGAGCTCAGGTTCAGGTTGGCTTGCCACTCACGGTGCCTAGCTCGGGTGGTGTCCTGCCCTCTCGGTGCCCAATCCTTGCTTCATGTGGGCTTTGCTCAGTGGTGTTATCAGATGCTAGTGGCGGCCCAGACTTGGAGGGAGCCACCAAGATCGGCCACGGCCCTGACCCCGTGGAGTTTACATTCCAGCGAGGCTGTCAGAGAACTCCCCTCTCCGGGGTGGGGGGCTGGCAGTCAGGGACAGCCTGTGATGACACAGTGTGAGCCTCAAAGCCTGCCCAAGGGGGAAACCACCTCAGAGGCCTCCCTGCATCGGCTTCCCCCACTGTTGCTGTGATGCCTGGGAAGGCGAAGTGTGGGCCCAGCCGTGGGAGCACGGGGCTGACCGGTGCCAGCGCTAGTCCTGGGAAGTGCACCTCCCGTGTCATTCCCCGCTGCAGATGAGGCCCCAGGCCCCGGGCATCCATGTGGGGCCCGGTTAAGTGAGTCGCAGTGCAGCCCTCACAGAGGGGCCGGAGGCAGCAGCCTGGAAATGGCTTGAGACCAATGACTGGATTGAAGACTCATATTCGTCACGAAGCAAACAGAACCAGAGATGTTCACATCAGAACTGCTCTGTGTTGCAGAATGCCTGGAAGGCATTTATCCCTTGGACAGATAGGTCTTTGAATGAAATGGCGAAGAAAGAAACACCTTGAGCTCATCCACGTTTGTTTGTTGTTAATGGCCCCTAACCGACCCTCCCCTTGCTGCCCTTTCCTCGTGGAAATGCCTCCCGGTTGTGACTTTCTGCTTTGTGTTGTGTTGTTCTGACAGAGGTCCAAGAGCAGTCACAGCGTGGTTCCAGCTGTGACGTCAGAAAGCGCCGTCCCCCGGCTTCACTGCCCATCCCTCGAGTATTTCAAGAAGCACTTCCTGGTTCCAGGGAGGCCTGTGATCCTGGAAGGCGTGGCCAGCCACTGGCCGTGCATGAAGAAGTGGAGGTGGGTGGCATTCAAAAGGCACCGAGGCCCCTTTGCCCACCTCAGGGTGCCCCCGGGACTCCCTGACTTCCCCTCTTGTCCCTGAGTAAATGCGGCCTTGATCTCCAAGCCCCTGTGTTGATCGCCGAGGGGCTGAAAAGAATGAAAAGGGCCAGGGCTCTCAATGTATGCCAAAGGCTAGGAGACCCCTACCTGACACCACCGCTTGTCCTCAGTAGTTTTTAGCCAGTGCCTCAGGCATGCTCCTGTCCAGGCTGTCCGTAAGTCCACAGGATCTCAGCGACTGCCCAGTCTTTCTCAGAGCCCTGAGATGAAAGACCTCGCACCCCTGGGCTCCGGGGTCCCTGGTTGCTGTGTCCGTGTGTGTGGTTGGCCCTCCTTGGCCCTCCTCAGATCCACAATGCAGCTGGAGCTGGATTGTGGTGCATGGCTGTGTCGTAGGAAAGGCCAGTGGTCGCCTGTCTTTGTGGCAGTGGTGGCTTTGGGCCAGTGGCTACCACTGGCACGTGTGGCGGAGTTCTGACACAGCGCCCGTTGTAGTAAGTTTGCTCCTAGTTTTACCAAGTCCTCGGGCCCCTGGCAGGCGCAGGCCATGTTCCCTCATTGTATCCCCCCTGGTTCTCTCGGAGAGGAGCCCTGTTGGGCAGGGATGATGCGCTGGGCTGCTAACTGCACGGTCAGCAGTTCGAAACCACCAGCCGCTCTGCAGGAGAAAGGGGGCGCTTTCTACTCCCGTAAAGAGTTAAGGTCTCAGAAACCCACAGGCAGGCAGTTGGCATGACTCAGTGGCGGCAAGTTTGGGTTGGTTTTCATAGAGGGAGGCTTGGGCACGGTGTTAGGCTGCTAACCATAAAGTCAGCAGTGTGAACCCACAGCTGGAGAGAGATGAGGCTCCTGCTCCCGGGGACAGCTGGGCTCTCAGAAACCCCGGGAGCCGTTCTCTGGCCCACAGGGCAGCTGTGAGTGGTCGGCAGGGGGTTGGTTTACAGGGGCAGGCAGTGCCCTCGTGTCCACTTTACAGATGAAGAGCAGTGGCCTCCAAGAGGGGAAGTGCCATGCAGAAGTCCCCTGGTCGTCCCAGGCCACCAGAGTCAGAGGCCAGGCACTATCGTGCCCACCATTTGCTGAGGAAAATAGCCCAATAAGAAGGCCAAGCTGCCAGGTTTGCTGGCCCACCCTGTGAGACTGCCAAGTGCCCACACCAGCCAACAGTCCTACTGGATTCCTGTCCCTGAGCCGCCTGGTCAGAGAAGTGGACTGATGGGGGTTTTGTAAGACTCGTTGGGGGTTTTGTAAGACTGAATGGGAGGCAGTCTGTTAAGCAAGTTGCACAGCACTCACCATATGGGGGCTGTCAGTGTTCGTAGGAAGCCAGCCTACTAACGATTCCTAGTTTTTCTAATAGTTTGGAATATATCCAAGAAATTGCTGGCTGCCGAACTGTCCCAGTGGAAGTCGGTTCCAGGTACACGGATGAGGAGTGGTCCCAGAGGCTGATGACCATCAACGAGTTCATCAGCAGCTACATTGTGAATGAGGTATGTTGGCCTGACTTGTCGCAAGACAGCTCGTTCCAGGGCCAGCAGGAAGCTTCCCAGTCACCGTGGGCGCATTATGGGGACACTGACAGTCTGGGCAGCAGGAAGGTCAGCGCACGGCCGACCTGGGGGCAGGGACTCCCTTTAGAGACTTGGAAGGGTCGTAATTTTCACCTCTTCATGAAATCAACACTGTCTAATTCCACAACATTTGGAAACGCCCAAATCGAAATGCCCTAGCTTGCTCTCCCCTCCCCTCGGCACCTGGCTTGCTATCTGGTCAGTCCATTTGGATGGATCCAGACGGCAGGCAGCTGCCTTCTCTGAGTATAGTGTTTCCTGAAGTTGGTCCGTGTCCTGCCAGCGACCTCGGGTTGTGTCTGGGTGTGACGCCACAGGGAACATGGGTGCGCAGCCGTTGTGGCATGCACTGTCCAGATCACAGAGACTGGAGCTGGCCAAGCCCTAGAGTGGCTGCACCATCCCTCTTGGCTCCTCCAGGGAAACCTGCAGGCGTACTGACCCTCGGGACAGGGCGTTTGCCCTGAGGTGAGGGTCCTTTGTAAGGGTGCTAGATTTCAGCATCAGTAGTTGCATTTCCACTCACCCCCAGCAGCCCTCTCGGAAAGGCAGCCCCGGGTCCAGGAGCTGAAAGTCCCCGGTAGATATTGTTATGGACCCACTGCAATCAAAGGGTCCAGGCTGGTGGCTCTGCTGGCCTCACAGTTGCTCCCATAGGCCTTCTCAGCCTTGTAACTCAACTCCAGGGGACCACCCAGAGTCCCTGTAGCCCCCTCCATGTCCTTCTCCAGTGGTGTCCTATGCCACCAGGGCTCACTTACCGTTGCCCACGCCCACCATCTCTCCTCATTCCCGCCTTGCCTCTGCTCCATTTACTATCACCTGTGGAGCCTCCACACTGCCATGTCCACCTTGCACGCAGGGCTCTCTGGCTGGGAAGCCCGGTGCTGTGTCACTCTGCTGGAGGAAGCCTGCGGCACAGCCAGACTGGACTCGGGCTTGGGCTACAGAACCCGCTGAAGCCTCGCTCTGCCCCTGCCAGCTGTGCTGGTCTCTTGACACCTCAGTTCCCTGGCTTCTAAATGGGGTGAGCCACGGCCACCTCCCAGCATGTGAGGGCTCAGACACGTGGCTCTCGGCGTAGCACGAGTGGGCCGTGCACGGCTGACGAGGACTTCAGGTCCTCCTGCCAGGTGCTGCGGGAGGCAGAGAGCCGCACGGTGCCAGCCCTGGGCAAGCCTGAGGAGCATTGGTTGGAAGGAAAAAAAAGAAAGAACAGGGACGGGGGAGAGAGATGGCAGACAGAGGGACATGGAGGACGGCTGAGCCGGACCTTCAGTCCATTTCTAGGACCCTCTATGCAGCGTCAGCCTGAGATCCCCTGCCTGAGCCTCCCAGAATCCCACAGAGAACCGCTCCAGTTCTGTGGAATCCCGTGTGAAAAATACTAGCCTTCACACCCTCCGGCCTGGCAAGACTTTACAGATGGATGTTGTCCAGTAACATGCTGACACAGATAGGGAAACGGGCCCTCCCAGCAATCACTGGGGAGAAGATAAATGATGGAGCCTTTGGGAGAATAACCGGTAGGCAGAAGCTGCGAGAAGTCAAAGCCCACACCCCCCTTGACTCCGCTGGTCTGTTTGGAAGCTTGCACCACAGAAGTGGAAGGACCAGGGGTCAGGGGGCTAGTGAGACACTGGCAGTGTTAGCAGCCTGAGTGCCCACCAAGAGGAAGAGCAGAATTCATGGTACAGACCCATCCCTGGGGCCCCTGGGGGTTCAGGGGGGGGGGGGAGCATTGGGCAGCCAACTGAGAGGGTGGCAGTTTGAGGCCACCACTCCATGGGAGGAAGATGAGGCGTTGCTTCTGTGAAGGTGGGCAGCCTTGAAGAGCCTGCAAGGCAGCTCCACTCTGTCCCCTGCGCTCGCTGTGGGCGGTGGAATCCTGGATGAAGCACAGTGCAGTCGGTCCAAAGGATAAGCTGGAAGCGAGCAGACCGGCCTGGGGAAAGGCTGCAGGGAAGGCAAGCATGCCTCACACGCACATGTCTGTGCTTCCAGTTCCGTTGTCAATGGCCTGGCCTCGGGCGGCCTGGGACATCCATGTGAAGAGTGGAGGTGGGGAGCCATCCATAAATGACCTCAGCGGACCTGGGCCCATCTGGCCCTCAGCCCAGAAGGAGACTTGCAGTGTAACACAGGGCGGGCAGGGAGGAGTACCAAGCAGGCCAGGGTGCAAGGGTGGCACTGATAGGCGGGGTGGGGGCACACCCGGGCTGAGAGCTGCCAGTCCAGAGGTGGTGGTCCCCCAGCTCACAGCCTTCCTGTCCCCTGTGGTTTTTCTCTGAGGATTAGCCAGAGGATGTCGGATACCTCGCTCAGCACCAGCTCTTTGACCAGGTAAGCCCAGAGACCACGCATCTCTCTTCTGATTCTCCCCTTCCCCTCTTGCTGTAGCAGCAACCACCCACTGTGCCTCTCGGTGCTGCTCGCTGCAGTTGGGGCTCTCTCTGATCGACCAGGCCTGAGGCTGATACCCTAAGTCCAGGAAGGCTGGACTGGGAGAGGCTGCAGCCTGGGCCACGGGTCCGGGAGGCTGCAGGCAGGTCTGAAGTCCCAGCATGGTCAGTGCTGAGGTGCCAGGTCCCGGGGAGCAGCAGGCAGAGCTGACTCAGGTAGAGAAGTCATCCCCGCGCAGAAGGCAAGCCCAGCATCCTCTGTGCAGGCCGGATGCTGTCGGGTCTGTACACCTCTGCTGGGCATGGGCTGGGTTGGTTTCTCTGGGTACCCAGTCCTGGCTGCTCATGTGGACCTTGTGATTACCTGTTGAAGGTGGCTTCAGAGTCCAGGAAGACTCCCAAGTCTGGAATTCAAACAGCCAACCTGCTGGCTGGAGGTGAAGGCCCAGGAGGGCTGGCCATGCTGTGTGTGACCTTGCCCGGGCCCCCAGGTGGGCGGGCTGGACAGGGAATCCCTGTGACAATGTCTGCCTGGAAAGGGGAAGAGAGGGAGGGGTTTGTCACTGGTCAGGGATCACGGCTAAGGGGGAGCTTGACCCAGCGCTGCAGAGCAGGGGGCAGAGGTCAGCTCTGGTGGGTGGGCCTTAAAGGTCACCTCTGGAGAGCCAGTCAGACAGTTTGAAGTTTCTTCATGTTGAGACCTGAGTTCTTTCCAAGTGAGGCTGGACCACCACCGGTCCCACCCTCCCTGACCTCCACACCTGCCCAGCGTGCTGGCAAGTGGCTCTTAGGTTTTGAAACGGAAGTGCGGTCCCCAGTAGGATCAAGTGGGGTGGAAGTCCTGATGTGGGGACCAGCCAGGCTTGAAGGTGACATGTGGCCGTGCACATGGATCCAGTGGGACTTGACCATCCAGTAGATGGGCTGACCACCTGCATCCGACAGGGAGCTGGCGGCCCGTGCTTTGCTTTTAGTGGGAAGCCCCGCCCCAGGCCTCTTAGATGGTCCCTGAGACAGATGTCAACATATCCCAGAGGGTGGGGTTGGGGGCGGCTGGGGTGAGAAGGGACTTGGAAAAGGGATGGCTGGTTTGTTGAAATACTAGCTTGTCACTCACACCCATGTTGGCAAAGCCCTGGGGTAGCTCAATTGGCAGTGCCCACTTAGAGAGCTGGCATCCAGCCCCAGGCCTCCTCCCCCCTGCAAGCCCAGGACGTGCTGCTTGCATCTTGTTTTCAGTTGAGACCAAACACCCTTCCTTCTTGTTAACTAGTGTCCATGCGCGTCTAGGCTTTGCCCTTTCCTCACGTGTGCCATTTACACCTGAGGACCTTCTGTGTTCCTTGTTAATGTGTACGGGCTCTACATGAATCCCTCCTTTACCAGTTTGCTCAAGTAAGTTAGCTAGTTGATTGGCTTTTATGTTGTTTAAAATGTACAAATGACCCCCTCCAGAGATTCGATATTCTCTCCCGTTTTCTTTCGTTTGATTTTTTTAAACAATCAACTCTTTACATAATTCTAATCTGATTTGTTTTTAAGTATAAAGCACTGGCAGCAAATTCTTTTAAAAAGAAACAGATATGAAACCGTTAACGTGGAAACATTCTGAAACAATATCTAACTCTTTTTCTTGGCACTGGCGTGCGCTCGAATCCTATACAGTAAAATCCACTGTCATCGTATTATCGCCCAACGGGCCTTTCTTCTGGTGGTCACTTAGTATCTGGCGGGTGGCCCTGGGCTGACCTCTGACCCGATGCCCACAGGTCCCCGAGCTGAAGCAGGACATCAGCATCCCTGACTACTGCTGCCTGGGCGATGGGGACGAGGACGAGATCACCATCAATGCCTGGTTTGGTCCCCAGGGAACCGTCTCCCCACTTCACCAGGATCCCCAGCAGAACTTCCTAGCTCAGGTCGGAGCCACCTCCCCTGCCCCTCCCACCCTCCCCAGACTCATGGCCGGCTCATGGCGACCCTAAGGTCAGGGAACGCTGCCCCTGTGCGCTTCCAAGACTGTCACTCAGCTGGAGTTCAAAGCCCCATCTTTCTCCCAAGTAGCAGCTGGTGCTTTTGAACCGCTGACCTTGCGGCTAGCAGCCTAACAAGTAACCCTGACACCACCAAACCGCCATCTCAGCCTTACCTAATAGACCCGTCACCAGCAGCAAAGGCATGGCAGAGAATGGAATGAGAACAAAAGGGTTCTTCCTCGGACTCGGGAGAGGGTGTGCTGGCGGGGTGGACAGCTAACTACTGTGGGGGAACGTTCATTTTTGAACTAGAGAGGACATTTTTGTGGTCAAGCTGACCAGTGCAACAGGCAGCAGAGTGAAGGCACAGACCGCGGCTCTTCGTCTGCCTGGCGTGAACACCACTCGGCCGCCAATAGCTTTGTGGGCTGCCTCTCGGTGTCCTCTAGAAGGGGCCCCATCTATAAGGCTATAGATGGCGTTTTCTCATCTGTAAGTCACTCGTTGGGCTGCGGCGCACAAGGTCGGCAGTTGGAAACCACCAGCCGCTTCTCAGGAGAAAGTAGGCTTTCCACACCTTTGTAAAGCTCATCTCAGACGACCTGTGCTTTCGGGTCACCATGAGTCAGCCTGGATTTGGAAAATGGGTATGGTGATAAATTACACCACCACCACCACCACCACCACCCACCATATCAGGTAGTTAGCACCCTAAAACAATGCTTGCCACAGCCGGCTGCTTCATTATCGTTAACTGGTGACGTGTTGTGGGTTGCATGTTGGCGGCTCACTCGAGTCAGCAGTGTGCACCCCCAGACCCTCTGCGGGGGAAGAGGAGGCTTTCTCCTGGACTCGGTAGGCTGCTGTGTGGGAATCGGTTGTTTAGCAGCGAGTTCAGTGGGATGTGTTATAACAATATTTCATTTAGTCGTAATAAAAGTGGGGGTTTGGTGTAAGGAGATTTCACTTAGCCGTCATAAACGTACAGGAAAGCCACACGCTGTGAACTGTGGCAGGGCTCGGCTGCAGTGGGGGGCATGGATAGGACGTGATGGGGTGCTGGAAGTCAGCTGGAGTCAGCAGTGGGCAGGGAGGCCCAGGAGGCGGCCCCCAGCTGACGGTCAGCTCTCTCCCCAGGTGATTGGGAGGAAGTACATCCAGCTGTACTCCCCGCAGGAGTCTGACGCTTTATACCCTCATGACTCTCACCTCCTTCATAACACGAGCCAGGTAGGCCTTCGGCCCCACTGTGACCTCACAGGGCCCCCTCTGCCGCCGCCCCCCCCTCCTCTGAAAATGACTTCTTTCTTCAGGTTGATGTGGAGAACCCTGACTTGGAGAAGTTCCCCAGGTTTGCTGAGGCCCCATTCTTGTCCTGTGTCCTGTCCCCCGGGGAGATCCTGTTCATCCCCGTGAAGTACTGGCACTATGTGCGAGCCCTGGACTTGAGCTTCTCAGTCAGCTTCTGGTGGTCATAGCCCATGGCCAAGGGAACCCCACTCTGTGCCCCACCAGGGGCCAGGCCTGGGCCTAGACACAAGCAGAGCCTGAAGAAGCCTCCACTGCCTCAGGATGAGAGGGAGGTCCTGCCTAGCACCCTCTGAGGCCTGACCACCAGGCTCCTGCAGAGGCTGTGGACATGCGACTTCACATACAGCTGTGAGATCGGGGTGGGGGGTGGGGGGCAGTGCAGTCCCCGGTACACACCCCGTGAGGACCAGGTGTGCATGTGCAATGTCAGCTCCTGTGGCTCCAAGCCCAGTCACTAGAGGCTGCTGCTGTCCCAAGTCTTCGGAATTCCTACTGCAGGTTTGGGGAAGAGGTGAGGCGGGGTAGGGTGAGGGGTCCTTCCCTGCATGCTCAGGAGCTGGACCTCTGCTGGGGAGCTGTCCGCTGTTGGGGCTACCCCAGTGCACGCTGCCTATAGAAGAGCCTCTGCTGCATCTCCAGCTGGGTTCACACCTGGGTAACCTGCTCCCGAACCATCGCCAGCGCCCAGAATCTCCTCTCCCCTTTCCCGCCTCCTTCCCCACACAACGACTCAATAAAGGCAGAGCACGCTGATAAACAGGCCCCAAACCTTGGCTAGCTTTGTGTGTTGACTATTAAAACATCTCCCTGTACCTAGATTACAAAAAAAAATCTCCCTAGTCCTCTGACTAGAGACAGGCAGGCGTATCCCAACAGCTGACAGCAGAAGGGCCCCGCTTGTTGGAGAATCACAAATCAGAGGGTATTTATGTAGGGACGTAAGACCGAGAGCTCATGAGGTAAACATTCATTCATTCCAAACTGCTCACATTTGAAAAGCTAATAAACCTTTAAAAATATATACCTAGAGATATGCAAAATAAAACATGTTCCCTACAGGGGTCCCTGGTAGCAAAATGAATTACAGGTTGGGCTGATAACAAGGTCAGTAGTTCAAACCCACCAGCTCCTCAGGAGAAAGTGGAGGCTTTCTGCTCCCATGAAAACGTAGTCTCAGAAACCACAGGGGTAACTGCCCTATCAGGTCACTATGAATCAGAACTGACTCAACAGCAGTGAGGTTTGTTGTGACTCCTATAAACTAACGAGAATGCTCACAACCTGTCCTTGATGTTGAGAGCAGGCTGTTCTGCAAGTAGAGTTCAGCTCAACAGAATTTAAAAGAAACCAAGACCCTTAAAAGTTCATGATCACCTTTGGATCTATCATTCCTAGTTGTCGAAATCCATCCAAAGGAAACATGGGCAAAGACAGGTGTTCAACGCTGACCTCACAGCACTCTTTATAACAACATCACTGGAACGCAGTTTGTCAGGAGTGGCCATCAACTCCATGGACTGTTGTGAAATGTCTGCCCTCGGATACCTAGAATATTGAAATGTGCTCGCCATGTCAGCCCTCGGTAAAAGGCACATTAGACGTTAGAGACTGAGCCTTGGTGGCGTTGTGGTTTCAAGTTGGGCTACTAACTCTAAGGTCAGCAGTTTGAAAGGTTCAGCTTTCTACTCCCGTAGACTTACACCCTCGGAAGCTCACAGGGGCAGCTCTACCCTGTCTTACAGGGTTCCCATGAGTCTAGCTAAATCCTTGCTGGATTCTATCCGTTTGTTTTTCTGTTACTTAAAAATGAAGGGTCCTGGTGGCTGTGGGGGTGGGTGGAGAGGAAGGCGGGCGGGGAATGATGTGTAGCAAGTGAGATGGTGGAAGAAGAGCAAGGACACGGGGACTTCTAGGCGGGCAGAGAGGAGGCAGCAAGTGAGGGGAGAGGGAATCACACGTGCAGAGGTTCAGATGAGAACCGGGACATCTTGCTCAGGACCTGAAGGAGACACTGAGGCTGCATATGGCAGAGGTGAGCAGGGGTCTGGCCACCTGGGTCCTGCGGGTTCTGGGAGAAGGCCAGTGGGAGACCGTAGGGTCTGCAGCAGGGGACGGCGTGCTGGGAGTGCACTGTGGGAAGCTGGCTCTAGGCCAGCAGACGGAAGAGCCAGGCAGGCCGGAGCTGTGGCAGGAGTGTAAGTCAGGGACTAGGGCCTGGGCTGAAGGGCCACCTGGCAGATGAATGGACAAATTTGTTCACTGGCTTGAGACAGGAGGGCGGCTGGAAGCATCTAGGCCACCTCTCCGACTTCTGGTAGAAGCAGGTGGCTGGCAAAACAGCCACTCCGGAAGGAGGGAAGAGCAGAGTCCAGCCGAGCCTGGCGGCCTCAAGCCCATTCAGGCCAGGTCAGCCCTGAGCAAGAGGAGGGTCCAGGACACACAGATCCCGGTCTTGATGGGGTCACTGACTGCACCTGGGGACGGAGGCGAAGTCGCCTGGCTGAGGACCACGAGCTGCCCTGGGCAGCGGTGGCTCAGGTCCTGTCGGGCAGAGGGACTCTGCTGATGTCATCTGCTTGGCACCAAATGCTGGGCTTCTGAGCTGTCATCTGACCTCTGGGAAAGAGGAAGTGCCGGACCCAGAGAGCACAGAGCATGGGTGGAGGCCACAAGCACTTCACACAGCTTTATTCCAAACCTGCTGATACGTGCACAGGGCGAGTAAGAAGGTGGGTACCAGTCCAGGAAGCCACCACTTGCCCCTCTTCTAGGCAGGGCGGCCATCTTCCCGAGGGCAGGGTGTCCCACTACTGCTGCCTGGAGCGCAGGGACTTTTTGCTTGATTTGGAGAAACCAGCCTCCTCCCTCTCCTTTTCCTTCTCCTGGTTGAACACTTCTGTAACAGAAAGCCCGGGGAGAGGCTGAACAGTGGTGCTGGCTGCCCACAGCTTCATCCCGTGCCCAGGCCTGCTACTAGTGGCTAGCACACAGGCCCCCAACCCCACACACCCACACCCAGATACACTGCAAGGAAGGCACTATCAGCCAACCCATGTGGCCTTCCCTGTGGAGAAAGGCCCTGTGTTCCTTAGGCGAAGAGGAGAGTACCAACACTTGTCATGGCCCAAGGTCGTGGAAGGATGGTAACAGTGCATCCCAGGGAGCTGACTGAAACAACTGCCGGTCTGTCTCTTCGTCTGAGAGAAAACAGACATGTTGCCCCTTGTTCCCTGGCAAAGGCTGCAGAAAGCAGCCATCTGAAAGTTTATCAGCTTCTTCATATTCCAGCCTCATCCTCCCCTCCTGTCTGTAAATGACTTGGTTGAAATGCTAATGTTCTTTTGTATGCCTTAGAATTGCAAACTGCCTTTGTGTGATCCTGGCACGAGCATGCTGGCTACGTGACCGAAAAGACTGTATAAACCTTCCCCTAATAAAGCTCTGGGCTCTGGAGCATCTATGCTGTGGAGATCCCCATGCCCCAACTTTTTGTCTCTTTTGTATGTAAGTTTTCCCTTGCAGACCGTACCCTCTTTTCAATTTGTGAGAAAAGAGCCGGTTTCTAAGCTATCTCACACTTCCCCCCTCCCCTCCTCAACTGGCTGCAGGCAGGGAGACCAGATCCCTGAGTACCTGCTGAGTGCTAGAGAGCCCACTGGGAATGGGAGAGTTAGGGGGGCTAAAAGGTGCTCTGACTTATGAGGCCGCGGCCCTGCTGGGGTGGAAACGCCTGTCTGTGCTGAGAAACCCTTCTGGGCCGCCTGTCTCCCAGCGCCTGCTCATAGCCAGATGCCTCCTCTGTGAGCTCGTTGGGACCACGAACCTGGTATCTCGTGGGGCCAGTAGTCATTACAGTGGGGGCAGTGGGGCTCAGGACTGGACTGGAAGTACTTGGCCATGCAAGGTAAGTGCATGCGGATGCCGCAGGTTTCGCAGCTCTGACCCTGAAACGAGAAAGGCTGCTGGGCGTCCATCCTCGGCCACACTCTGTTTCACAGGCCGTCAGGGACGTTGCTAGCAGCAGCTCCAGCAGGTAATGGATTCTGATCTTCCAGACCCCACACGAATAATGACAATCATCCCAGAGTCCTGGTGTCTTCTCAAAAGAATTCTAAACAAGTTAACAACGAGCAGCCCTCTCCCAGAGCGGCAGGGCCATGAGGCCGGAGCACTAGCGTCAGTAGCAGCGTGGCCACGCCAGGTGCGAGACCTGCACATGGATCCTGCAGGCGCAAGGCAAAAGGCATTGATTGACGGGCTTTTCAAGCGCATGTGCGAGCTGCCACACTGCCACAGAGCTCAGCACAAGGAGGCAACCACTGGGGCCCAAGGACTGATGTGCAGAGAGGCTTATCAAGGTCGAGGTTTGTGGACAACTGCAAACAAATCAAATGAGACGCCAGCATGCAGTCCTGGTCCAGTGGTGTTAAGTCCTCACAAAGGGCAGCGTGCAGAGTATATCCCCCTGATGACTTCAGAGCCCTGACCCTGGTGAGGGAAGACTGGTGAAAAAACAAAAGGAAGAGCCCTTGGGCTGGAACAAGAGAAAGCAGGGACGGAAAAGGGTGCAGCAGGCGCCTCAGGTGTCCTTGGGCCCGTCTCCAGCTGCCCTCCATTGGCTCCTGCCCAGGCCCCTCGGCAGCACCCGGGTTCTGAGTGATAATGCTGGACAACACCTGGGATGAGGTACCTGGATGAGGAGGCTGTGGCAGATGTTGCACATCTTCACGGAGTCAGGGTAGGTCTCCCGGATATACTGCTCCATCTCCAGGATGGCCCGGCTGTGCAAGGTGAACTCCCCTTCTTTCTACAGAGACAGTGACGGGGGTGCCATCTCAGGCCACAGACACACCAGGCCCGTCCTGGCTCTGCACTATCAGGCCTGAACCTCTGCAGCCCCTCAGCCCCAGGCCAGGTGACACCAAAGTCTGACATGCTTCCCCTCAGCAGCTTTCCCCAGGCCAGCCAGGAGGTGTGGCCCATCTCCACTTAGAGGCTAAAAAAAGCCCTACAAAAATGCCGACATCCTGTGCTCATGTATTGAAAGACTTAATGTAGTAAAAATGTCAATTCTGAGTAATCTACATGAAGTCCAACATTGTTTACTGAAGTGGAAAGCCAATGGACAACTTTGTATGGAAAGGAAAGAAATCTGGAATTGCCAAAGCAATATTAAAGAAGCACAAAGCAAGAGGCCTCGTGATCCTTGATATCAAAACATATTACACAACCACTGTATTCAAAGCAGCCTGGAATTGGCTCAGTGATAAAGACCAGAAGAAGGGAACTGAGAACCTAAACATTATGGATACTGCAAAGAATGGGAATCCGAGAACACTTAATTGTGTCCATGCAGAACCTGTACACAGACCAAAAGGCAGTCACTGGAATAGAACCAGGGATACCACAGGGTTTGAAATCAGGAAAAGTGTATGTCGTGGTTGTATCCTCTCCCTGTATACTTATTCAATCTGTATATTATAGAATTAGATAAATTGGGCTATATGAAGAAGAGCATGGCATTAGAATTGGAGGAAGACTCATTAACAACCTGCAATATACACACCCTGTTTGCTGCAAGTAGAGAAAGAAAGAAAGAAAGAGCCCCAGGGCCATCCACTCAATTGAGAGCCACAGCAACCTTCCAGCGACCCTACAGGACAGTAGGACTGTCCCTTTGGATTTCTGAAGCTATAAATCTTTACAGGAGCAGAAAGACTCTTCTAGAGATGGAATTGCAGCAATATAATTCCTATGAGGCCCAAAACTAATGGCATGATCAGATATATGCACACGTAGGTTCGTTACATTGTATTAGGTGTTATAAGTGATCTAGAAATGATTTGACATATACAGGAGGATATAAGTTATATATACAACATTTTAAGGAGCCTGGATGGTACAGTGGGTTAGCATTGAACTGCTAATAATTAAGGAGAAAGAAGAGGCTTTCCATGCCTGTAAGGAGCTACAATCTCAGAAACCCAGAGAGGCAGTTCTACTCTGTCCTGTTGGGTAGCCATGAGTTGGAATCGACTCGATGGCAGCGAGTTGACAACACTTTATAAAAGGGACCAGAGAACCCACAAACGTTGGTGTCCAGGGAAGTCTTGAAACTAACCCCACTGAGGGTTGAATACTGAGGGATGTTTGGTCTCCAGACCAAACCCATAGCTACCGAGTCAATTCTAGCTCCTAGTTACCCCACAGGGCAGAGCAGAACAGAGCTTCCCAATAGTTTCAACGCTGTAAATCTTTATGGGACCAACAGCTGCATTTTTCTTGCACAGAACAGTTGGTGGGTTCAAACCACCAACCTTTGAGTTAACAGCTGAGTACTTAGCTACTGTGCCACCAAGGCTCTTCCAGAACTTTCTGTGTGTGTGTGTGTGTGTGTGTGTGTGTGTGTGTGTGTGTGTGTGCAGCCCATGCAGTCACTGAAGACATCAATACAGACACTCCTCAGACATCACCAAGTATCTTCCCAGATTGGTGCTCTGGGTTTGAAGGCTTG